ACGAATACACCCACAGCATGAAAAGCCGTTTTCAGATTGGAGACCCTTTCCTAACTACATTTATTACCTCTTCTGTTCTGGCATTTCATGAGCGTTGAGCTGTAGTTACACATAGTTGCACTGTTCCACTGTTGCAGCATATCTATGATGTCTAACTGTACATCTGAAAACACACTGTGTGTATGTACATCTCTACATCTGAATACACACTGTGTGTATGATGTCTATCTGTACATCTGAATACACACTGCGTGTATGATGTCTATCTGTACATCTGAATACACACTGTGTGTATGATGTCTATCTGTACATCTGAATACACACTGCGTGTATGATGTCTATCTGTACATCTGAATACACACTGTGTGTATGATGTCTATCTGTACATATAAATATACACTGCGTGTATGATGACTATCTGTACATATGAATACACACTGTGTGTATGATGTCTATCTGTACATATAAATATACACTGCGTGTATGATGTCTATCTGTACATATAAATACACACTGCGTGTATGATGTCTATCTGTACATCTGAATACACACTGTGTGTATGATGTCTATCTGTACATCTGAATACACACTGCGTGTATGATGTCTATCTGTACATCTGAATACACACTGCGTGTATGATGTCTATCTGTACATATGAATACACACTGCGTGTATGATGTCTATCTGTACATATAAATATACACTGCGTGTATGATGTCTATCTGTACATATAAATACACACTGCGTGTATGATGTCTATCTGTACATCTGAATACACACTGCGTGTATGATGTCTATCTGTACATCTGAATACACACTGCGTGTATGATGTCTATCTGTACGTATGAATACACACTGCGTGTATGATGTCTATCTGTACATATAAATATACACTGCGTGTATGATGTCTATCTGTACATATAAATACACACTGCGTGTATGATGTCTATCTGTACATCTGAATACACACTGCGTGTATGATGTCTATCTGTACATCTGAATACACACTGCGTGTATGATGTCTATCTGTACATATGAATACACACTGCGTGTATGATGTCTATCTGTACATATAAATATACACTGCGTGTATGATGTCTATCTGTACATATAAATACACACTGCGTGTATGATGTCTATCTGTACATCTGAATACACACTGCGTGTATGATGTCTATCTGTACATATAAATATACACTGGGTGTATGATGTCTATCTGTACATATAAATACACACTGCGTGTATGATGTCTATCTGTACATCTGAATACACACTGCGTGTATGATGTCTATCTGTACATCTGAATACACACTGCGTGTATGATGTCTATCTGTACATATGAATACACACTGCGTGTATGATGTCTATCTGTACATATAAATATACACTGCGTGTATGATGTCTATCTGTACATATAAATACACACTGCGTGTATGATGTCTATCTGTACATCTGAATACACACTGCGTGTATGATGTCTATCTGTACATCTGAATACACACTGCGTGTATGATGTCTATCTCTGTGCCTGAATACACACTGCGTGTATATCTATCTCTTTGCCTGAATACACACTGCGTGTATATCTATCTCTTTGCCTGAATACACACTCCGTGTATGATGTCTATCTCTGTGCCTGAATACACACTGTGTGTATGATGACTATCTGTACATCTGAATACACACTGCGTGTATGATGTCTATCTGTACATCTGAATACACACTGCGTGTATGATGTCTATCTCTGTGCCTGAATACACAGTGCGTGTATATCTATCTCTTTGCCTGAATACACACTGCGTGTATATCTATCTCTGTGCCTGAATACACACTGCGTGTATATCTATCTCTTTGCCTGAATACACACTGCGTGTATATCTATCTCTTTGCCTGAATACACACTGCGTGTATGATGTCTATCTCTTTGCCTGAATACACACTGCGTGTATGATGTCTATCTGTACATCTGAATACACACTGCGTGTATAATGTCTATCTCTGTGCCTGAATACACACTGTGTGTATGATGTCAATTTCTTTGCCTGAATACACACTGTGTGTATGATGTCTATCCGTTTTTCTGAATACACACTGCGTGTATGCTGTCCGTCTGCCTATCTGAATACACACTGCATGTATTATGTATATCTGTATACTAGTATCGGAGTCACAACTGTTTGTTTCATGTATTTCTACATTCAGCATACTTAAAGTCACATTTTGATCCTGCTAATGAAGGAATCCAGAGCTAAATAAAGACATCACAAAGAAATGTTTTGTTGTGCTTAAAGCCACGATTATCACCTTTTGTGTCGAAGCTTTCGGTTCAAATCGCCTACCCAACGTACTTCACATAATCTTGGATATTGTCTTTGGAATACCCGATCCGAATAAACTCTCTTTTCTTTTCCAGATCTTACTGAGAACCCCTGATACTGAGACAGAAACTTTATGCGTTTACTTGAATATCCGACTACGTTTATGGTACGACTAATTCCCCTGTGGCGGATTTTAAATTAGATTACAAAACAATCAGCATCAGCTAAACCGAAACCTGACACAAAATGACACTGTGGAGGATGACAGTTATCTCCCTTAGAATTAATGACCAACAACGTTGCGTGCTGTGTTCGGGTGCGAGTAACATTCCTGCCTATCGTCGTCGTCACAAGACGGATGGAGTTATCTCGCTTCGGTAATGAAATATAATGGTCTGCGTATGCTAAGGAAAGTTGCTTCCAGCATTATTCAAGTCCCAATCACTGTCAGGATCGTAAATAAGCGGCTTGTATGAGAGTAGAGGCAACATATTATGGGAGCTTCGAGGGATCCTCCTTGACCACGCGAGTAGTGGTTATTATAGAGCCAGTGTGAGGCAGCTGATCGATAACGTATCAAGTAGTCAACATTGTACACCGAGGAAGACGGGGCTGGAGACTGCAGGCACCATGGGTCAAAGTAGCAGGGAGGAGGGGCCATATTTGTCAACATCGCTGAAGGAAGTTAAAAGTCATGTTTGGAACAGGATATCCTCATTAGCAATCCAGTCTCGAACCAATCTATAATGCTTGTTTGGGGCTAATATGATAGGAAGTGCGATACGGGAGACCTGGTCAACAACATCTGATACTAAAGGATTTGATCAGGCACGGAAAGCAGGCTCTCGACCAGCAATGCTTTCAGGGGTGTTGTTGATATGCAGTGAATTCATTATAGAGTGTCATATGTTTGAAAGCCATCAACAAGAACAGTTCCATAATGATTATTGAATCTGTAACTGGAATGATTGTATGCTATCCACAATATCCTGCAATGGTCTGCAAAGCATTGTGATGCAATTTCATTGCAGCGATATCAACAATATAGATATCGCTTGATCTCACCCAAGCGATATCTCCTGTTGGAGCCAGTTTTGGATGATAAATATTTGTAGCATGCGACCTAAATAAACACGCCTTTAGAGAAAGAGAGAGAGAGAGAGAGAGAGAGAGAGAGAGAGAGAGAGAGAGAGAGAGAGAGAGAGAGAAAATCATTCTTGGAGAGAATCTTTTTATGTTTCATGTCCTTCAACATGTTTAGCCTCATCTCCCAGCGACGTGTTGTCGGTGACACGGTATTTTATTATGAACCAACTCTCTACAGTCATGTTTATCTGGTAAATGGCATGTACTAGCTGTGTGTGCACAGGGGCTGATAAGAGGGCAGGGTACGTGTCCTATTGCCTTTGGTGTAAACCGACACAGTTCTGTACAATGTACATCAGATGTGATAACAAGCGCTTCCTAGCAACTGAACATTGCCCGGAATGAGAGTGATTCACGTGAACACATGACACTGTGCGATCAATATCCTGCTGTGGGTTGTACGCTAACAATAGAATTTATATTGTCAATATTTTTGCATGACGCATATACGGTGACATCTGTGTTGATGTTGAGAATCCAGTGCATCAAAATGCCTCAAACATAACCATCACCTTAACTGCGAACTGACACTTCTTTGGCTAGCCTTTGTAATGGTATGGTCTGAGTGTTATATTAATGTGTTGAACTGCTGTGTTGTTGCCGAATTGTAATGTATTGTTCTCCTTATTCGTGCAGGTGGTATCGACTAAACAATCATCACAGCAATCGATGATACCATGAAGGCGACACGAGAACCTCACTGAATAATGTAAGCACATACTGCGGTAGTATTGTATCACTTAAGTTTGCATTATGCTGTGTGAAGGAACAGGACGGTTTGTGTTCTTTCAGTGCATTATAGTAACGGTATACGTGTAGACACATTGTGATTAGGGTCACACATCTTTTATTTAGCTTTGAATAGTGTTTGTTTAAAATGGGGGGTTTCTTGTTCGGTACCTGAATATATTGCATGAAATATACATATATCATAATGCAAGAAATATCTCAATACGCCATAACTACTGTACCTTGCTGTTTCTACATGTGGGCGTACTGAACTGAAATCAATTTACCTATGGACAGGTAAGAATGTTAATGTTGCGATGTACATGACTGCCATTGGTGCCTAGAAACACCGAGAAGTCACATCTTACAACACAGCCCGGGAAACCATTACTGTGATCCTTGTAGTTTAGTGTAACATACAAGTATTTTCTTTCGATCAACCATGATGGCGAATATATGAACCTGCAAGCCATCATATTAAAATATGTGTACGTGCATTTATATGTTGAGTCGTTAGTTCCATCGTGTTCAACACTATTGCATATGTCACAGTGCAAACTACACCTTCAAATGCGACCTCCATTTGTGTACAGCAATACAGCACGCACCTGCACCATTTCCACAAGGCGTTCTAGATACCATGCTAGATAACCGTGCCCACCATAGGCGACATCTGTGCGATGTGCCTGACAGCAGTCCTCCATTACTGTGGCGTTGTGTCGATTCATGACAAATACTGATTTACTTTTAAATGCACTAAACATCCTAAACCGTGCACACAAAGTGATACAGATATAGATACTTTACCTGTTGAAATGCGATGTGAAGTCGGTCAAAGGTGTGAGTGATGTTGTGAATCAGGGATTCCAGCATGCTAAATCCAGTAATAACAGACGAACACAATAGCTGGCAGATGTTAGGTAGCTAAACACTTCGGTCCATGATGACTGTTAGTTGGCGAGGCGCAGGGACCAGTGACACCAGCGGCCGTTAACACGTGTTGCCGTCGAGTGTTAGCACAACCTAAAGTGCAGCCCTTCTCTGGATTAGCCTCCTAAACTGTAGCCACCGAGCAAAAAATCGTTGCAATTTGTCGCTGATTGTGACTATGTAATTTGGTTCTGGCGTTGAACAGAATGAGATGTAAGTTTCGTTTCACTCCCAGAACAAGCGTAAATGAAATATCCCCATTAAGCCATTCGATTATCTGTGCAACCAACTGCGAGCGTTATAGTCGAGTGTGCGGACGGAGAGACGAGATGAAACACATCCAGCGTCTTGTGCACTGTGACAATCACGTCCAACGACAGATCAGCTACATACATCCGATTGTTGTTTTCCAACTTGTTGGGGATTCAAGTGTGCCCCTCTGACCTAAATGAATCAATTAACGTTTGTTGTAAGCAAACATTTTAATGGTATATTAGCACGGGATTTCCTCGCTGTTCAAACATACGTTTTGCTATAATCCATAAACCATTGCTGTCGCATCATCCACGCTCTGCCATCAACTTGGAAAAATCAATACAGATTCCAGTCCAATTTTCCACGGCCTGAAAACAGGTTGAGCAAAAACTACTCTCCGGGGAGATTAAAGAGAAGTTTGAAAGTATTTAGATTAAAACTCGCCGAATACAATGAGGCGGTTTCCTTGAATGCTGATGAGACAGGGGCTTATGCGGGCACATGACACGTCACCATGGTCATGGTACAGGGTGCGTCATGTGAGGAAGATCTCTTATGACGTCACAAGATGTTCGTTCTATTGAATTCTTCCATAAATTACTATTTTTGTGTATTTTATTCAAGTTAGTAAGCGTGACGTCACACGCGTGCACATCAGCGTTGTTCTATGTACGTGCATGTATGTCAGCAAGTTGAGGCAGTCAAAGAACAGTGCTCACGATAACAGGAATAACCATCACAAAAGGCTGGTCCTATTAACAGGTATACTAATGCAGTATTTGCAACAACAGTCCCACTGGTCAACGGTTACAGTTGAAAATGAAAGTGAGGCAGTGTCAGTTTGAAATAAGAGTTGTTTTCGTCAACACATACAACACGAAACAAGGAGGAAACTCCAAGATCCTTCCTTTTCCGAATATTGATTTGTCCAGAAATTGAAAAAAACGGATCTTTATAACAGCGAATACGTGTACACGAAGCACCAAAGGGCACCGTGCTATTTTTACCACGGACCTACGGCTGTTTGCCAGCTATCTTGTCCACGCTGTCGCAAACATTCCGTCTCAGTTTTAGTAGCGAAACCCTGATAACTTCCAATAATACCGTTATCGCTTAAACCACCTGTGTAATGAATGTTTCACATAAACCCCTGCTGCTGAGACATCAATCAGACAAGTGCCTTTACGTCCTCACAACAGCCAACAAACAATTGTCACCATCATATATTTATCAACATCAGATACTTATTTGTGATTCCTTTGCTCGTGGGTTTTAATACAAGATTCGACTTGATTGTTTGTCGGCTCATTACCTTTGCGGTTAGCTTTTAAAAAACCTGTATTTTTCGGGCTTTCCTCCCACATCTATCTGACACGCCGTGGTTAAACTGGAAAACTATTTAACTTATTCACAATGTGTCGATCCTTGAGTCAGTCAAGAATTTTGTTGATGTGTCAGGCATGAGGACCCAATGGTGATGACGGTTACTTACTCGACGTCTACAGGCTAACGACACATGGCACACTTTACTTTACTTCTTACAGGTTCAATGACGTCACAACACTCCGCGATCCTTTACTATGATTACACATTGAGTGTCAAAAAACGGACACTGACAGCTTGAATGTTGATGTATTTCTGATCAAAGGAAATATAATTTTAGATTGACATGCATGCTGCAATGGAATGAGTTTTAAGGGTTCCGATAACTATACTTGTCCCATGGGAATCGATATGCATGTATTATATCCACTCTCACGTCTTAATGTACAGGACATTTTGCGGTCTGTAAACCCCTTAATACTTACCTCTCACCTTAATGTCTTACTAAGCATCCCCACCCCTACATGATGTAACGTAATGGTATGTCCTGGTTGCCATGCGGTATTGTATGTATATATGTGCACATGAGGTAACGTAACGGTATGTCCTGGTTGCCATGCGGTATTGTATGTATATATATGCACATGATGTAACGTAATGGTATGTCCTGGTTGCCATGCGGTATTGTATGTATATATGTGCACATGATGTAACGTAAGGGTATGTCCTGGTTGCCATGCAGTATTATAAATATATATGCACATGATGTAACGTAATGGTATGTCCTGGTTGCCATGCGGTATTGTATGTATATGTGCACATGATGTAACGTAATGGTATGTCCTGGTTGCCATGCGGTATTATGCACAAAATATGATGTCATAATATGTTCTGGTTGCCATGCGGTATGATGCACATGGTGTAACGTCATGATATGCCTTGGTTGCCATGCGGCATCATGTACATGATGTAACGTCATGATATCTCCTGGTTGCCATGCGACATCATGTACATGATGTAACGTCTGATATGTCCTGGTTGCCATGGGGTATATTATACATGGTGTAACATCATGATATATCCCGGTTGCCATGCGGCATCATACACATGACGTAAAGTCATGATATGTCCAAGTTGCCATGCGGCATCATGCACATGATGTAACGCCATGATATGTCCTGGTTGCCATGGGGTATATTATACATGGTGTAACATCATGATATATCCCGGTTGCCATGCGGCATCATACACATGATGTAAAGTCATGATATGTCCAAGTTGCCATGCGGCATCATACACATGATGTAAAGTCATGATATGTCCTGGTTGCCATACGGTATTAGGTATATGGTGTAATATCATATGTCCTGGTTGTCATGCGGTATTAGGTACATGGTGTAACATCATGATATGTCCTGGTTGCCGTGCGGTATTAGGTATATGGTGTAACATCATGATATGTCCTTGTTGCCATGTGGCATTAGGTATATGGTGTAACATCATGATATGGCCTTGTTGCCATGTGGTATTAGGTACATGGTGTTACATCATGATATGTCCTTGTTGCCATACGGTATTAGGTACATGGTGTAACATCATGATATGGCCTTGTTGCCATGTGGTATTAGGTACATGGTGTAACATCATGATATGTCCTGGATGCCATACGGTATATATGCACATGGTGTAACATCATGATATGTCTTTGTTGTCATACGGTATTAGGTATATGGTGTAACATCATGATATGTCCTTGTTGCCATACGGTATTAGGTATATGGTGTAACATCATGATATGTCCTGTTTGCCATACGGTATTAGGTATATGGTGTAACATCACGATATGTCCTGTTTGCCATACGGTATTAGGTATATGGTGTAACATCATGATATGTCCTTGTTGCCATACGGTATTAGGTATATGGTGTAACATCATGATATGTCCTGGATGTCATTCGGTATTATCTACATGGTGTAAGATCACGATATGTCCCGGCTCCTGTATTGAACACTACATCTAACATGGTGTAACATCACGATATGTCTTAATTGCCATGTGGCATTATGTACATGATGTAACGTCATGATATGTCCTGGTTGCCATGGAGTATATTATACATGGTGTTAACATCATGATATATCCCGGTTGCCATGCGGCATCATACACACGATGTAAAGTCATGATATGTCTTGGATGCCATGCGATATTAGGAACATGGTGTAAGATCATGATATGTCCCGGCTGCTGTATTGAACACTATATCTAACATGGTGTAACATCATGATATGTCCTTGTTGCCATGCGGTATTAGGTACATGGTGTAACATCATGATATGTCCTGGTTGCCATACGGTTATAGGTACATGGTGTAACATCATTATATGTCCTGGTTGCCATGTGGTATTAGGTACATGGTGTAACATCATGATATGTCCTGGTTGCCATGTGGTATTAGGTACATGGTGTAACATCATGATATGTCCTGGTTGCCATGCGGTGTTAGGTACATGGTGTAACATAATATAACATATGATAACATAATGGTGCTGTGCTGGAGCAGGGTCATATATGGTACATTGTGAAACAGCATGGTACTTTTCCTTTATGGTACATGCTGTAAAGTCATGCCATATACTGGTTTGATGTCGTATATGGTTTATGCTGCAACGCCATAATATTTTGTAATTAATGCCGAGGTAATTATATATCCTTGCATTGTCCCTGTGAAGTGTTCTGCGTGTGACGCAGCCATACTTTCATGTGTAGATTTTAGTGCTGGCGTCCTGGTTCTAACGACGTAAATTTAAGGTTTTGTACATTAACTTGCGTTGAAAAAATCCAAACTAAACACTGGATACTAAAATGATGGTAATCGTTATGATAAATGTATTAGATAGCGCTTGTTCCAGGCGGTAGAAAACAGTTTCAAATACATGTCATCACTGCTATGTGGATATGCCGTCAGGACATCCAGAGAGTCATTATCCCACAGAACCCATGTGTGATAAGTGCCACCCATTTATCTCATGCTGAACAGATAGGAAACCCTTGCGGATAGTTCGCAGAGAGTTGCCAGAATAACAAAAGCTTTGCGACAGATAGTCTGTTCTATGCTATGTTGTATTTGGTAATAGTAGTGTTCGTTAAGCAAGGGCCCTCGTGGCGACTGTATCACACACGGAACCGCCTCAGGCGGCGCTACATCTGTCAGCGCAATGCTGTCACGCTGAGGCGAAACAAAAGTTTACCCTGTCATGTTTATAAAAATATCATTTCTTCAGCAACACTTACGCCTTTTATGCTAAGTAAAAGTTCCAATGAATTGTTTCTGAATATTCAAAATATTCAAATTTAATTATACTGACATGGATTTTTGGAGTTTCTAAAACTAGTACTGATTCGTGTAACACCCCCTCATACAGAGTATGATGCTGCATATTCTGTTGTAAATGGCTGCACCGAGAGCGAGCGCTATGTTCTTAGTTCTATATGAAATAGGTCCCTAGTCGAGATGCAGTTCAATGTATGTGATAAAGTCCTATACACACGGTGTCTTTCTGGGGGAACTTGCAATTGTGTCACTCGTGACGTGACGCGGATTCTGACCAATTCCATCAGTTGAATGAATTGAGGTTATTTCTCGTCAATGGGTGGGGATAGGCAATGAGAAAGCTTTAGAGCGTTCACACAATACAGAAAACCCGCCGCTGCCTTGTCGGCTGTGTACGTCATGCACGTCTGTATTGCACTGAGTTGAAGGGTCCATGTGTTATATATGTGCCATGTGACACCTCGTTGCACACCAATTGCTGCACCCCGCGGGGTATTTATCTCATGGGTTACGTCATAGCGTGGGTTAAGGTTCCTACACATGCCCT